GTGTGTGTGTGTGTGTGTGTGTGTGTGTAATGGAATATTATCCATAAAAAAGAATGAAATCTTGCCAATTGCAACCACATGGGTGGAGCTAGAGTATTATGCTAAGTGAAATAAGTCAGAGAAAGACAAATACCATATGATTTCACTCACAATGTGGAATTTAAGAAACAAAATAAATGAGAAAAGGGGAAAAGAGAGAGAGAGAGAGAGAAAGAGAAACCAAGAAACACTCTTACTATATAGAACAAATTGATGGTTGCCAGAGGGTAGGTGGTTGGGGAGATGGGTGAAATAGGTGATGGGGATTAAAGAGTGCACTTGTTGTTATGAGCCCTAGGTGATGCATGGAAGTGTTGAATCACTATATTGGACACCTGAAACTCATATAACATTCCATGTTAACTAACCAGAATTAAAATTAAAATCTAAAAAACAATACTGCTATTTATGAGAAAGAAGGAGATAAATGTATTATACCCAGTGTCTGGGGATAGGTTTTTTTAAATATATAAGTCACAACCTAAGACCACCTCCAAGATCTGCTTTGTGATCAGCAAGGGTGAGAGGGTCTTAAGCTATTCAGCTGAGGAAAATGATACCTTGACATCTCAGCAAAGTAGGTGATGATTGATCTGGTTTTCATAAATTAGAAAACTTTTTTAAAAGACTAGTTAGACTTCCAGGTTGATGAAGACAACAGTGGCTGCCTTGGTTTGTGTCTCCCAATGTTTCCTCCAAAGTCAATACAGAATAACAAAAATAAATTTTAAATGGCACTAAAACCACATGGGAAGCATAACTTAAAGCAGAAGAATTTCCAAACCTCAATATAACTAAGTTTAAAAGAAGAAAAAAAATACCAAATCTCAAGAAGTACTCTCTCACATCCATGCTGCACCACAAACTCTTATAGTGAGCAAGGACAGGCTGATAAAAACTGTAGGAAATAAGGGAGTTTGTCATGGGCTTAGGATTAATCTGAAGTCACTGAAAGAAAGATTAAGTCTCCCTCAAGTATAAAAATATTTTTTTAATGTCCTAGTAGGCCAGAACAAGGAAGAAGCTTTCAAGTGTGCATAATTTTAGGTAGCAATCTTCAAAAGGCATGGCTTCTAAGAAAGAAATACAAGACATAAAAAGAAGTGAGCAGTAACTTTTGGTGAATCTATAGAGTTGTTATAAAAAAAATCAGAAAACAAGATTCAACACACAACTGATAAACATCTCATTACAGAAAACAACTATGAAGAAAAAAAAAAACCTGCAAGACAACATTCCAAACTGAATTAAATACATTTGGGGATATGAAAAAAAAACCCATCTGGATTCAGACTTTCAAAAAATCAAGACAAAAAAATCAAAGAGAAAATTGATCAAACTAGAAAATAAATGGAAGAAAGACAAAATAATCTCAGATGTGAAGATAAATTTAAAGATTCCAAAGGAAAAACAGACTCAAGAAAATTTAATAAGGTGCATTGAAAAAGACAGAAAAATAACTGAGAGAATTAAAATAAAACAAAGAAGAAAGTAAAAAGGCTCAGAAAGAAATCAGTGAATTGAAGGAGAAGCAAAGAAGGAATAGCAATTGTGTCACTGGAATTACTGGGGAAGAAGAAACAATGGAACAATGGAACAAAGTTAATATTTAAAAGATTTAAACCTATAATCCAAGAAAAATTTCCAAAGTGAAAGACTTCAGTCTATACATTCAAAGTTCCCACTAGGTTCCTGGGAAAATATACCAAAATGATCAACTCTGAGACATATCCTAGTAAAATATTAGATATGGAAGATAAACTCAGTCATCAAAGCCTCTAGGCAAAAAGATGAAATAACTCATGAAGGCAAATTAATTAATCTGACATCAGGCTTTCCAAAAACAACATACAAGGCAAGGCAACAATGAGGCAGCATTTTCAAGAAATTCAATGG